CTACATTGTGGATTTGGTTGCTTCATGGTTTTGCTTTTTTGGCCTCGGCTTTGAATTGGCTTTTGATACCCTCTGGAATGACCTGAATCTGTGGCACCTTATATATGTGATCTGAAGAATTTGGAGAAGTAGTATAAATGCTTTATTGTTCATTTTAGTTTCTTCTTGATTATGTTTCCTTACCTTATTTATGTCTTGTAAGCTACATATGATCTGTAGAATTTGAGAACTAGGCATAATTCTTTATTCTTCTCAGTTTTTCGTTTTTCCAATCTAAATTCTGATTAAGAATTTTATGCTGTCATGTTTGTACAATCACAGGTTGCACTGGAGACTGAGTTCTTTACAGAGTACGGTGAAGCTAGCCGATACCAAATCCAAGAAGTTATAGGGAAAGGAAGTTACGGGGTTGTGGCATCTGCAATTGACACACATTCAGGCGAAAAGGTTGCCATTAAGAAAATCAATGATGTGTTTGAGCACGTCTCTGATGCAACGCGGATTCTAAGAGAGATCAAGCTTCTCAGGTTGCTCCGCCATCCTGATATAGTGGAGATAAAGCATGTCATGCTTCCTCCTTCACGCCGTGAGTTCAGAGACATTTATGTTGTTTTCGAGCTGATGGAATCAGATCTTCACCAAGTTATCAAGGCGAACGATGATCTTACACCTGAGCATTACCAGTTTTTCCTCTACCAGCTTCTTCGTGGTCTGAAGTTTATACACACAGGTGAGTGCCTTGGCTCGAGAAATTCGTGTTTCCGTTGTTCCCTTTTTTTTTCTGTTTACTGCTTTTCAACTAAACCTGAAGGAATCCTTTTTTCTTTGTTGCAGCTAATGTGTTTCATCGTGATTTGAAGCCTAAAAATATTCTAGCTAACTCTGATTGCAAGTTGAAGATTTGCGACTTTGGGCTTGCTCGAGTGTCCTTTAATGATGCACCTTCGGCTATATTCTGGACTGTATGCTACAGACTGAAATCATACATTTCCTATTTATATCGTCTAATGCATTAAATGTTGTGATCAAATGGTTTTCGCTTCTTTGCAGGACTATGTTGCTACAAGATGGTACCGTGCACCAGAACTTTGTGGCTCTTTCTTCTCCAAAGTAAAATTTAATTCTCTATTTTATTTTTGCAAAAATTGTCTGTTTCACATGTTATAAAAATTGTCTTTATTCTTTCTTTGCTGCAGTATACTCCTGCCATTGATATATGGAGCATAGGATGCATATTTGCAGAAATGCTTACTGGGAAGCCATTGTTTCCTGGGAAGAATGTGGTGCACCAATTGGATATTATGACTGATTTGCTTGGTACTCCTCCTCCCGAAGCTATTTCAAGGGTTAGTTGGTAGAGTTCATCTATTTCTGTTTGCTACAATTTGGCTGCTAGAGTTTCTTTGATGTCTTATGACTTATGAGTTAAAAGTTTTATAAACCATGACTATTTGCTTACTAGTACTTTCCGGCCACGGTTTTTGGGCAAGTAGTATAGGCTAGCTTGGGTTTCATATTAATTGGTAGGAAGCTCACGTAGGTATGTGGCCCACAGAAATATGAGAATACTAGTGTTATAACATTACTAGACCAGGATTAAGTGTATCAGTTTTCTATTTCCTGTAATGATGATCATTGTTTTGTTTTATTGCAGATTCGTAATGAAAAGGCGAGGAGATATCTCGGCAATATGAGAAGAAAACCACCAGTTCCATTTACTCATAAATTTCCTCATGTAGACCCGTTGGCCCTTCGCTTACTGCACCGTCTTCTTGCATTTGATCCCAAAGACCGTCCCACAGCTGAAGAGGTAAAGCTCCTCTATATTTGTTTTTTCTAGCGTTTTCACTTCAGAGTTTCAGAGCAGTTTCAGTCACTCTTAGAAAAGGAAACATTATATATGCATGTATGTGTGCGTGTATACAGGCACTGGCAGATCCTTACTTCTATGGTCTGGCGAATGTTGATCGGGAACCATCTACGCAACCGATTCCAAAACTCGAGTTTGAGTTTGAAAGAAGGAAGATAACAAAGGAAGATGTGAGAGAATTGATCTACAGAGAGGTACACTAATCTCGTACTGTTTTTGCTTCACTAATCTCGTATTGTTAAGCTCTGAACAATGGCAAAATATATCTTCTTCCTTTTTCGCATGTCCATCGGTTAATCGTAATCCTTACAAAACTTAAATGTGAAACAATGCAGATATTAGAGTATCATCCTCAGATGCTGCAAGAATATCTTCGAGGTGGAGAACAGACTAGCTTCATGTACCCAAGGTAAATAAAAACATTGAGAATCCGTATTCAAAATTTACAAATAATAATGAGAAGTAAGATAAAGATTTTGTAATCTAAATGAAAATGCAGTGGTGTTGATCGCTTTAAGAGACAATTTGCTCATCTTGAGGAAAATTACGGTAAGGGTGAGAGAGGCTCACCTCTTCAACGGCAACACGCTTCTTTGCCTAGGTATACAATTTCTTTTGTTGGTTTGTCAGTAAAACTGATTTGAAAGTCATCAGATTTCCCCGATTCTTTTAAAGCTTGCATCATCTCATTCCGTTGTGTTGTGTTGGAACCTGTTCTGTTTCAGGGAGAGAGTCCCTGCTCCTAAGAAAGAGAATGGATCACATAATCATGATATCGAGAACAGATCCACAGCGTCTTTAGCCACGACCCTCGAAAGCCCTCCAACGTCACAACACGAGGGTTCAGACTACAGGAATGGAGTGAGCCAGACGGGTTACAATGCTCGCAGCTTGCTGAAAAGTGCCAGCATCAGTGCATCTAAATGCATTGGCGTGAAACAAAGAAACAAGTCCGAGGTAAAAAAAATCATGTAGCATTAGATAAGATGTATATATCGTACAAGTTTGTCTACACTTGTTCTTCACATTCTTGACTTTTGCAGCACGGGGAATCGAACAATGATACGGTTGATGCTTTGTCTCAAAAGGTTGCGGCTCTCCACACTTGATTCAGAGATTGGGGATTGGAACTTGTTGCTAACAGTAGACGGCTGATTCTACAGTTCTTATACACATCTCTCACAGAGAAGAAGAAGAAGTGGTATGATCTTGATAGATACTGAGAGACATGAGCTATGAACAAAACAACTTAACCTTCATTGGTCTCTTCAATTTGTCCATCAATTCGAGTTGTATTAAAAAAATGTTAGGAGAATAATTTAAGAAAAATTGTGGAAATACCCCCAGACGTTTGACTTTACTACACGTTAACCCCTGGATTTATGTCTGACAAATATTTTACCTTATCAGGCGATAAGTAGAAGTTTGTGTGTTAAATACATCATCTTGATTCTTGACCAATATGTGCCTAAGCCTAACTATATATTTTATGTTTGTATGATGATCTCTTCATCCTCAAAGGATATAGAATCATTTTGATTTTTACTGCTGTTCTTCTTTTTGGTCGTCCAACTTTGCTTTTTCTTTGTTCTCTTTTGGTTTGCTAATCGCTTTAGAGCTGGTGAAAATGCTGTTACTAGCTGTTAATATCATAAATAACTTAAAATGATCAACTTTAAAGTAGTCCACAAATATACAATAATGTTGTAGATTTCAGTTTCTTCTTTTACTCTATAGTATCCAAAGTGACTGAATAAGTTTATTTTTGATATGAAATTTGAACACAGTGAGTATATTATTAATTTACCATTTGTAACTCTATTGTAAAATAATCTCTTGTCATTGTGATGTAAGTTGAATCCATCTTGTAATGGCATTCCCGAAAAAGGGTTTGGAATGTTATAGTTTAAGCAGCTTTCACTACTACAAACCATTCGCATGCCTGACATTACCTTTTTAACATGGAGCTCCACATAATTCTTTCTTTTTTTCCTTTTTACTATCAACCAATAGTGTTTTGATATAAAAGTGAAATTTCATGAACATGTACTATTAATCCCGAGATAAATCCTAGTGTTTTTGTTGTCGTGGTCGTCATTCGTCCAACTAGTTCTTGCTTCAACAAAATAAGATAAAAAAAAACAAAACCAAAGCTAGAAATTAAAGGACTAAAAAACACTTGGAACAGAGACAGAAGTTAGAGTTCTTTTTCTTTTGAGATAGCTAAGGGTAGTAGACTTTCTTCTTTTCATGGAAGTAAGAGTAAAGTTTTTATACAAATCAAAAGTTTATGAAAAATGACGAAACAGCTAACCATAAACATAATAAAACTAAACTGACCACTTTTTTTTCATAGTGATTGAAAAATTGCATGGTCTTTTGTTTTCCATGATATTTAATTTGCGAAAAATTACTTGCATTTTGTTTTGTAAACTAACGACAAAGTATATCTGCATTACGAGACAAACACATGCTATTTTTATATAACTTTGTAGTTTGTTTATAAAATCAGACCTCTGCTAATTTTATTGTTTATAACATACAGATTACATATCAAATCTAATCTAAGTTACTAAGTAAGTGAGCGTTTTAAATAAAAAATAAAAGTACTCAAGTATGATAAGTTAAATTAAACGAAACGAATCCTTCCATAATCGTCCCGTGATTCACAAATATCAAAAATTTAACTCATTAAAAAGTTTCATAAACTAGTTTGCAAGCAGTGATTACTATTAAAAAGTTTTTTCTGTTATAATCCCACACATTGAAAGATAGTGGATTCGATTGGTAACCAAAAGCTGTACAAGTTTTTTAGCTGTTAGTTTTATCGGAATAGTGCAAAGCTGTATGAAAGAGCTGTACGAGAAAGTTATAAAAAAAAAAGCTGAGAGTAAAACTTTTAGTAACGCTTTTGATAAAGTTTTTGTGATAGGTAAAAATAAAAGCTATACAACTTGTAATACTTTTATTCTGTTCACCAATCAAACCCAGTATTAACGAAGCATAAGAAATGTTTTGGAATTTTAAGAATGTTTGATCAATTTTTTTTCCAAGTGAAATTTAAATTACTAAACCAATAAAAAAACTGACTAGTATTAAATTGATACAATATATATCAAGATCCCATTTGTGATATATATTTTATTACACATCTCTTCCAGTCTTTCACTCTTTGTCCCTCTCTCTTTCTCTACTACTCTTGTCTCCTTTGTTCCGGCGATGTTCCAACACGCGCCTTCTTCCATTTCCCTCATCGTCTTCTTCTTCACCATTCTATCACCCGTTTCACCAAACCAAGAACCGGTCACAGTCCAGCCATTCCGGGTCAAATCATCCCCACCCGCAACCATTCCCGCTTTCCCGGAGCAATCCGATTTCTTCGGCTGTCCACTTGATTTACCAGAAGACCTCTTCCACGGCATCAAATCAGCTTGTAGCGGTAAAAAGCTCCACAAAGGACGATGTTGCCCCGTACTAGGCGCGTGGCTCTACTCTGCTTACTCAACCACAGCTCTGAGCCGTTCGATTTCCGCCGCCGCCAGAAACGCATCCTCCTCCTCCGCCGCGATAACGACGCCTGAAGAAGATATGCCTTTGCTTCCTGATGACTCTGAGACTTGCGTTGACGGATTGGGGAAATCGCTGAGACAGAGAGGGATTGAGCTCACGAGACCGAACGAGACGTGCGACGTCGTTTACTGCTACTGTGGAATCAGATTGCATCCGTTGAGCTGTTCCGAGGCTTTTAGAGTGAACGAAGAAGGGAGACTCGTTGGAGACGAGAGGGTTGATAGATTAGAGACTGATTGTTTAAGTGGAAGCCACAACAATGCTGATAGATTCTCACCTCTACTTGGTTGCAACAAGTGCTTGAACAGTCTCTATAAGGTAATGTCTCTAACTTTGCTGCAATATTTACCTTTCCGGTAGAATTTGGTGATGGGTTCTTATAGGATTCACTGTTAGAAGTGACAATGGAATTAGTAAAATGTATGTGCAAATCTAGTAACTTTAGAGAATCTATTGATACCTTAGTGTGTTGTTGGTTTGATTGACTAATTAAGACAATTTTTGAATGAGTAATGAGGAATAGATGGACTAGTTATAGTAGTTAACTAGATATGTTAGGTTTAGTCCAAAGGTAAGAACTTTTCTTGACCCTTTAATGATCTTTGGTGTTTAAACATTAGGGTTTTACTATATGAGTGAGTGAAGATTGAGGAAGATTTAGAATTATGTAGTCTAGGATTCTTTCTGATCTATCCATCATATGGCGAATTGGGAAAAGTTTTGTTCTTTAGCTTTTTGTTCTTTTTCTATCTGACAGTCTGACACACATATACGCGCTTAAATAGTTCGTCATCTTCACGCGTCATTTTGTCTTCCATCATATGATTTCATTCTTCTGCATCTTAATCACCAACCCACCATAACCAAAAGCTTAGCCACTAGTTTCCACCTTTCTACTTTCTAAAAATCCTCAATCATTACTTTAGTTAACAACAACAAAGCCTAATCGAAACAAACACTTATGCTTCATTTTGCAGCTAAACCCAAAGAAAACTTCAGGGACAAGAAACCCATCAAAGGAAGACCGAAACAGAACAGCGAAGATGCATAACAAAGACTGTGTCCTCATGGGTCTTACTTGGCTTCTCGCTAAGAACCGTACTGCTTACTTTCCAACTGTAACTTCCGTCCTCCGAGCCGTCATGCTCAACCATGATGGCGTGCCACGTTCATGTGCTCTCGGCAGCGACGGCATGCCCTTAGCCGTCGACTCTTCGGAATTCTCCAACGGTTCGCCAACTTCACTTCAGTATTGGCACCACTTTTTACTATACAGCGTCATCACATTAGTCCTACTGTGACGTGGCACACCGTGGTTGGATTTGATTGTGATGTGGAGCACGTGGCATGACGTGATTGGTTGAGAGAAGTGAAATTCAGATAGAGAGAAAGAGAGAGGTCTTGGTTCTGTCTTTGTAAATTAGTTTTTTGTTGTCGTTGTTGTAGTAGCCATGTTCTTTAACATTATTACATCAAAAAAAAAAAATCGTATTGTTTTTTTGTCAATTAAATTTTCAAAATCACAATTTCGAATTTTCAACAATATTTTCGGTCATATCAAATTATATGAGCGCAATCAATCAAAACTGTATCAATTTGTTGGAGAAGAAGAATAATAGTCAGAGAAATGCATGTGAGTAATGGGGACGAGGTGGTGTGGCTGGTTTGAGAGAGACAGAGAGAATTGTGACAGCTTTGTTCTTATGTTTCCTTATCTTCTCTCTAACCACGGAAGCTACTATAACAATAATACATTCATGATTCATCGATATATTATATATTTTACATGAACTGATAATGCGACCAAGAGATGTATAAAAGCCCCACGACTGACACTTTATTTTCTCATATTATTTCATTCAATAATCGAATGCTTCCATTCGTTAGATTTTCCTTTGAGAAATATTACCAAAAAAGATATTTCATAACATTTGTGGTGGTGTTAGATAGGGCTTGATTGGTTCTCCCGCTAGCACCCTCCTAGCGGTTGCTAGCGGTCGGTTGCGGTTGTTAGCGGTTGGTACTAATCATAGAAACCGCTCCGTACCGCTTCAAACCGCTCGAAATCGCTGAATTTCAAAAGCTCCTTCCTGCAAGCGTTTGCGGTTGCGGGCGGTAGCGTTTGGATTTAAAAAAAAAAAGAAAAATCAAACGTTTACTTATAATTATTATAAAATATATTAATCTTATATATATCTTTCATCTTTGTAGCACGTTCTCATCAGAAACCCTAATCAATATTCTAAAACCTTATTTTCTCAATGTCTTCCACCCAAACTGATGAAAATCAATTTGAATATTTTTTTCTTTCATTATATATTGCTTTTCTTTTTGATTGAATATATGTTTCGATTTGTTTTCTCGAATAGAAAATTACTTGCTTTTTGATTGAATTCAACGTTATTTACAGTTTGTCCCATTACTTGATACAATTTTTGGTGTTAACGACCCAACATAAAGTACTATCTTATTATAAAATTTTTTTATTTTTGAATAATTATTTAGTACTTTATTTATGGTTTTAATTATTAAGCATGTTCAATTTTTCTAATATTATCATAATAATATATTGGTGTTTTTATTTCTTTTTTTTGTAATATTTTTTATTTTTTTAGTCATTTTTTATTTAACTGCTACCGCACCCGCTGGTTTACCAGTCATAAAACTTCCGCAAACGCATCCATTTTCAAACGCTAAACCAGTCGTTCAAAACGCTTGGTAACGCTTGAAACCGCAACCGTCCACTTCCGCAAACTTCCGCAACCGCAACCGCAACCGCTGCGTTTAAACGAGTCAGACCCATAGACGTTCACTAATGCCGCCAATCAACTGCTAGCGATTCATTGACTTGGCATTATTGCATAATATAGTTGGCCTGGCTTAAAAACTAACTGGCCCATGGGCCGCACATATACCTCTTTTACAAAAATATAACACCCATTAGTGTCAATCTAAATGAGTAAATGGTAAAAACATGAGAGGAATTGATAGGAGATGAATGGAAATGAAGATGATAGACAAATAATTTTGTTCCACTCATATCAAATAACAGTATAAGAACAATTTCTGAATAATTTTTAAAAATTGTTCAAGGTATTGCCAACAAAAATCAATGTAATTTTAATATTTTTCATTCATATTACTCTACATGTAATATGGTTATTTTGTGTCTAATAAACAAAAAGATTAGCACAAATTATTAAACGGGAAAATTGGAAATAAAGGATATCTACTTAAAAATTTGTCCATATACACTTTTTTTGTGAGATTATCAGTTTGGACGATTTTACCCCTACACCATAATTTAAATGTTTTTTTAAAAAATAATCATAAAAACATGTAGATATACAAGAGTAGAAGTGATTTGAAGTGGAATTTTTTTGATTTGGTTTAAAAAAAGTTGATTTTTTGATAGATAAAGTTTCATCTAATTTTGGTAGAACACGTTTTCTAGAGTTCTGCGAAACTCAAAATGTGTATTCTGCATTTTTGTACATGTTCTACGTATTTCAGATAAGATTTCTGTTCTGAGAATTTTAGAAATCCTAAAATCATAAATCTAAAATATTTAGAACATGCATTCTACGTTTTTCTCTATGTTCTAAATATTTTAGAATAGACGTTCTAATAATTTCTACATCTTCTGCCATCGTTAGAAATTGTAATCTGAGTTTAGAATGTATATTCTACGGTATTGCAGATTTCGATTTCTGTAATTTTTAGAATGCTCTAAATATAGAAAGTAAATCTTTAGAAAAGAAAACAAAATATTTTTTTTAGATTACGATTTAAATGAATATTTATTGTTTAGATTACGATCTAAAAGATGTAGAAGTTGTTGTCTACAGTTTTTAGACTAAGATTAAAACCTAAAACGTTTTCTAAACCCTAAAAAGCTACACGGCTTAATACTACACGTCTTAGTCCACCACTTTTGATTTTATTCTAATAATTTTCGTTTTGCTGTTTTGAGTATAACATTCACTTAAACTTATATTTTTGTTTTTTGTGTTTTGATTTATAGATTTAGTATTAGTTAAGTCCGTGGTTTAGTTTTGAACTATGGATTCAATTCTACTTATGATCATTTTTTGTTATTGAGTTCGTCTCTAATGTTTGTGTTCATAATCAAGTTTGTAATGGATCAAATTATACATGAGTAGAACACGTATAAAACAGATAAGCACAAGAAGTAGTGGAGAACAAAAAATCATCTTGCTCGAGCTAAAAGGAGATATTAGAGACGAACTCAAGAAACTTACTTTCATAAAATGCCTAAATAATTAGGAACAAAAAACAAAGGTCATACAAACTACATGTCGCAAGACTAGTACATAATCTGTTTGCACGATAAAAAAAACCATAATGCTAATTAATCTCAATCAATTTCAAGGATATCAGACAATTGATGTGGAGGTTTATAGTTCTCCATTCGCTCAATTAAGATAGGATCATGAGCAGCCTCCCAAAGGTCTACATCAATCTTCATGCGCGCCTCTTTGATGTTCCTATCGTTTATCAAATCCATGCTTAGATTAAGCATATGACACTCAATGTGGCAAAGCATCTTTGATTTTCCTAAGTATCGATAATCTGCAGCTGTTGTTAATTTTCTCAACTTCAGGCTCTTTACCATGTCCGAAAAGGCGCTTGGGAAACTCCTTAGTAGTGGCTGCACATAAAAAACAAACATATGTAAATAAAACCATTCACAGTGATGACTAATTATAGTGCATAGTTGCAGTTAGCAAACAAAAATTAGTATGTTAAAGAACCTGTTGTCTTACTTTTTTTTTGGTAGGAGAACCTGATGTCTTACTCGTGCTTCCTAGATTGTTTTCCATTGATAACCTTTGATGTAATATAGATCCAAAACCTGAAAATAGAGAACAAACTAGCTTTATCAAATATTGAAAGTTATTAAGAGACAAAACACTTGATATTAAAATAAACCTAAGAGCTTCACAATGTCAAAATTTAAGAGCTGAGAGTTTAAAATCAAATATCTAAACAGCTCAAGAAGGATCACAAAAGAATTCTAATTTCATAAACTTAAGAGCTGAGAGTTTAAAATCAAATATCTAAAAAGCTCAAGAAGGATCAATGAATTCCAACACAAACACATATACATTAACATGAATCAAAGAGATAGAAGACTTAATCAATCTACATGCAATTGAAATATTTCCAATGACGATATGTGGATGGCTTTAGCTAAAAAGATTTACAATTGACTTAGATGTAGAAGATTTACAAGAGACAAAACCTATAACTAATAAAAAAAACAAGACACGTACTTGAGCTACTCACGACACACACACACACACAAATAGTGGACTAAATAAATCAAAAAGAGAACAAAAAGATCACTTCGATTGTAATTTGGAATCAAAGAGCGAAAGACTTATTCAATCTACATTCAATTTAAATTTGGAATTTTAAAACTCACCAAATTGAAACCTTTAATCGAGTTTCACGAATTCAAAGTTACTAACAACTCTACATGCAAATTGAAATTGTGACTTGCAACTAAATCGAGAGAACAAAAAGATTCACATCGATCTACAAGTCTCAAATCTAATTTTTGTTTATATGAACGCAAATTTCTAAACGAGTAACAAAAATTGTGACTTGAGATGAGAAAAAGACATAATTTCAATCACAAAAAAAGAGTAGAACAACGTACCTATTGATTCAGTCTTCAATCGTCGCCCAGATGAACACCGGAGGACCAACAATGCCGGAAAACACGCAGTCGGTGGAGATACGGCGGTGGGCTCGTTTGAGAGAGACTAGGGTCCTTTTTGTTTTACCTCGACATGTTCATCTACGACAGGGAAAAAAAAACAGTTAATTAGGTCTAGGTGATTGAGAGACTCTTTCTCAAGTGGAAAGTTTAGATTTCTATTTAATTTTAGTAAATACATTACATAGTTTTATTTTTAAAATCAATTTTTATTAATTTTGAGAGAAAATGAGGGTAAAATTGGGTTTTTTATTTTTAAAAAACCTATTTGACCAATCTACAAGAAGAAGGGATATATGAACAAATTTTTAAGTAGATATCCTTTATTTCCAATTTTCTCATATTAAACTACACTTTACATTTTTTTTTTGTTTATTAATCCGTTTGTGCCAGAGAAGTGATGTTGCAACAATGATTATTACTACATTATCTTTTTAATTAAGAGAATTAAATATTAAAAAGCTAAATGTCAAACAAAACTCAAAAAGACTCAAAACCGTCCTTCCATTTTCCTCGTCTCTCTTCTTCTCGTAAACCCAAAAACCACTCAAAACGATCTCTGCAAAGTCCTCTCGATTTTGATGGAGCTTTCCGAAACCTATGCTTGCGTTCCATCGACGGAGAGAGGTAGAGGAATCCTGATCTCCGGTGACTCGAAGTCCGACACCATCCTCTACACTAATGGTCGATCCGTCGTGACTCTCGACCTCAACAATCCTTTAAAGGTCTCTATCTATGGTGAACACGCTTACCCAGCTACGGTGGCGCGATATTCTCCTAACGGAGAGTGGATCGCGTCGGGTGATGTGTCGGGGACTGTTAGAATCTGGGGTGCTTATAACGATCATGTGTTGAAGAAAGAGTTTAAGGTCTTGGCTGGTCGGATCGATGATCTTCAGTGGTCGGCTGATGGGATGAGAATCGTTGCTTCTGGTGATGGCAAAGGGAAATCTCTTGTTCGTGCTTTCATGTGAGTTTGGTTTGGTTTGGTTCTTAGATAAAGATTTGATTTTTTTTGGTGCTAAGTTCAACGAAGTGAGATTAAAGTTTAGTCTTCTCTAGCAATGGATTATGGTTTGTCCTCATGGTAATCTGAGATTTTGGTAAAGTGGACGAAATTGAATTGTGTTCAATTCTATTGAACTAAGCTATTCCGATCTCGGGAATTCAAATTTGGCTGAAGTTGTTTTCGTTGACTTTGATCAATTGGGCTAAAGATTTTGTTTTTCTACTGGTGTTGCATTGATTTTGTTGAATCGGATCGATATCAATCACATTGAAATTGAGCATTTTGTTTCTTCTTCTCAGTTTTGCTGGATTATTGACTCTTTGCTTGTCTTGCTTGATTAGGTGGGATTCAGGATCAAATGTGGGAGAGTTTGATGGACATTCTAGGCGAGTTCTTAGCTGTGCTATCAAGCCAACTAGACCGTTCCGTATTGTAACTTGTGGGGAAGATTTTCTGGTGAATTTCTACGAAGGTCCTCCTTTTAAGTTCAAGCTCTCAAGCAGGTCAGATAACTCAAAACATTTGCTCCATTTCTTTAAATAAAGAAAACACTTTTTTGTTGTTCAATTCCTTGGTTGTGTGTTTTCGAATTGTTTACGAGTTTGTTGTTTATTGGTCAACAGAGAGCATTCCAACTTTGTCAACTGTGTGAGGTTTGCACCAGATGGAAGTAAGTTCATTACTGTGAGTTCAGATAAAAAGGGAATCATATATGATGGAAAGACTTGTGAGATACTGGGAGAACTCTCTTCTGATGATGGGCATAAAGGTAGCATCTATGCAGTTAGCTGGAGTCCTGATGGTCAACAGGTACTAAGTTATGTCTGTCTGTTGCACCGTATTCTCAATTCTTGTCTGATTCCCTCGTATTAGTCTCAAACTACATTAGGCTTAAACGGGGTCTAGAATAGCATATGAAAGTAAGTTGTCTAACCTGCTCCAGTATGTACATAAATGAGCTATAATCGTGGCTTAGAATTTTGGGTGTATATATGAAGACTTAATGAGTCTCTATCTTCTAGTTGCTGATTACATGATTACATCATGGTTGATCTGATACTACGTCTGTACTCACGTGTTGTATATGTTGAATCATCAACCAGGTGCTCACTGTTTCTGCCGACAAGTCAGCCAAAGTATGGGATATATCGGACAACGGTAGCGGAACATTGAAGACTACATTGAATTGTCCTGGATCATCAGGTGGAGTGGACGATATGCTTGTTGGGTGTCTGTGGCAGAATGATCATATTGTCACTGTTTCTCTAGGTGGTACAATCAGCATATTCTCAGCAAGCGAACTTGATAAATCCCCCTTTCAGTTTTCGGGGCACATGAAGAACGTCTCTTCCTTAGCTGTGCTTAAAGGAGCCGCTGACTACATATTATCCGGTAGTTATGATGGACTGATATGTAAATGGATGCTAGGCCGTGGTTTTTGCGGAAAATTGCACCGGACACAAAACTCTCAAATAAAGTGCTTTGCTGCTCATGAAGAAGAGATCGTGACCTCTGGATATGACAATAAGGTAAATTGATTCTCACTTAAGTTTTTTTTCACATGTAGGACTTGTCACCTTGATTTCTGCAGTGTCTGACTTTGGTGTTTAGGGGAATGAATATAAGGACGAAACAAGTGAATGAGTATTTTTTTTTTCTCTCTCTCTCTTGAATATTGGCAATGCTAAAGATACAATGGTCTCTTAAGATTATTAACACTTTGGAAGAATATACTAATAATCTTGTGGTTGAGAGAATTTAAAAGAGCCATCACTGAAGGCCAAATGGTCTTTACCTTGTGGGACTAGCAGGACTAATGTTTTATTTCGTAGGTTATTCTTTATAATTGTTACATGCATTATTATTATTGAAGCAACTAATCCACGTTCTTTCACTCTGTGATTTTAATTCAGATATCCAGGATTTCCTATAAAGACGATCAATGCACAAACGAAGAGTCTGTCGACATTGGAAACCAACCAAAGGATCTAAGCCTTGCACCACTCTCACCCGATCTCCTTCTGGTGACATTTGAGTCAGGAGTTGTGTTTCTCCGTGATGGGAAAGTAGTGTCAACCATCGACCTTGGATTCACTGTCACTGCTTTGGCAGTAACACCTGATGGAACCGAAGCCATCATCGGTGGCCAAGACGGTAAACTCCATCTGTATTCTGTTAATGGTGACTCCCTCACCGAGGAAGCAGTTCTCGAGAAACACAGAGGCGCTATCAGTGTTATACGTTATTCTCCGGATCTCTCTATGTTTGCATCAGGTGATTTGAACAGAGAAGCAGTTGTGTGGGACAGAGTCTCCAGAGAGGTAATTAAGATTATTTAGAATCTGTCCATGAATCTGGAACACAAACACTGATCTTATATCGTCCCTTTTTTGTAAAACAGATGAAACTCAAGAACATGTTGTACCATAGTGCCCGCATAAACTGCTTAGCTTGGTCTCCAAACAGCACTATGGTTGCTACAGGATCCTTAGACACCTGTGTGATTGTGTATGAAGTGGACAAACCTGCTGCCTCACGCATGACAATAAAAGGAGCTCACTTAGGTGGAGTTTATGGTCTGGGTTTTGCTGATGATTCCCATGTAGTGAGTTCTGGTGAAGATGCTTGTATCCGCGTCTGGAGCTTAACTCCGCAATAAGACTTGAGGTAAATTAGAAAGATCTCTGGACAAGTCCCATCTTGTCTCTTTGGAAAGCTTCTACTACTTTTGAAAGCTTTTTGTGGATCTCTGTTTGGCCGTGGCTGTGTTGATGTGTTTGTGTCTGTTTTTGTCTGCATATTATCTTTTGTCAAAAATGAATGCTCTGTTTTTGTCTGAAACTGAGATCTTGGGTCAGATTTTTTTTTTTTTATCAGAAGATTACTGATACAGAATGGGACATGAGATTATGCTTTCCCTCAATGATTTTTGAGCTCTATAAATATTTGTTTTTTCTTACAAAAGTTGGTATCGTCAAATGTACTTAACACACATTTTTATGAAGTTAGATGAAAACAGAGGAGAATTTTCAATTAATTTATCTGATCAGCGATCAATAGTTAATTAACCTTTATTAACAAAAATAAAATAAAAACTAATCTGCATTATTATTCTAAGCCTCAAGCAAGACCCACATTGATCCTCGCTCATAATTCTCTCCCCCACATCGTGTCCCATAGTGGCCTCTCATGTTTCTGTTTCTCCTCCTCCTCTCTGCTTCCCGCTCCGGCGACTCTTCGCCGTCCGGAGACGCCGTCCCATTGGACACCGGCGATCTAAACAGACAGAGTTTTCCAAAAGGATTCTTGTTCGGAACCGCCACGTCAGCTTATCAGGTCGAAGGCGAGACCCACCAAGACGGTCGTGGCCCAAGCATTTGGGATGCCTTCGTCAAGATTCCTGGTTAATCTCATTATCAATCTAATTTTACAAATTCACTAAACTGATTAGTTTAATCATTTCGATTTCTTCTTTGCCATTGGTAAAAAAAAAAACAGGTAAAATTGCCAACAATGCCACTGCTGAGATAACAGTGGACCAATATCATCGTTACAAGGTCACTAATATTTTTAATTAAAGCATGATGTATATCTGTTTTTTTTGGTTATATCATAAATATACTTTGGTGTTCATGTTAATCACACATTTCAGGAAGATGTAGATTTGATGGAGAACCTGAACTTTGATGCCTACAGATTTTCTATTTCATGGTCTAGAATATTCCCTGGTATTACTTGATAATGTAGAAAATTAATCACATTGCTTATATTTTAATTTAAGATAAGTTTATAACTTCAAGCTTATGAAAACAGAGGGAAGCGGTAAAATCAACTGGAATGGAGTTGCTTATTACAACAGATTGATCGATTACTTGATCCAAAAAGGTATAGATTTATAGTACATTGATACATTCATAGACACTTGATTTGATTGATTATTAACTTTTGTGAATATAAATTTAATGGTTAGGGATTACACCGTATGCGAATCTGTACCACTATGACCTTCCTCTAGTCTTGGAACGAAAGTATCAAGGCCTGCTTAGTAAACAAGTAGTGTAAGCACCAACCAACTTGTTATTTTATCTTCTAATCTTTCTTCTC